GTGACTTGATTGACGCACCTAAATATTTTTTTTGCAAAAATCTTAGATAAATATATGGCGATATCTGTTCAAAGACTCTTAACCATTTGACAATGAGCGTTTATACTCCGACATTTGCCATGCTCGAACTCGAGGCCTTAAGAGATAACAACAAGTTTCTTAACCACACACTTAAATAGTTAAATGATTTAATCGAAAAAATTCAAAACCGATGATAAAAAAACAATAACTAAATGACCAAACGAATAATTTATCCTTATTTAATTTTATTCTCAAATTTTATAATTTCACGCCTTAAAATTATAATATAAATTATTAAATATAAAATTCATCCCTACATAAAATTATATATCCATCTGACTTATAAGTGTTGGAAGAACTAGTTTGGTTGAACCCTAATATCACTGATAATAGCTCCATCGAATTCCTTAATTGGCCATTGAGTCTATCAGTTTTCTCATTAAATGTCTTATTCGGCTAAGGATGTAAAATCGAGTAATCGTTCAGGTTTCAGTCGTAACCTGTCAAGTCGAATAAACTCGGATACAAGTCAAGTCAATTTGATGTTCCAAGTCAAATCAGGTTGGGTCATTTTCAGGTTGATTTGACATCAGGTTCAGTTAGATTTCAGGTCAGGTTACTTTCAGTTCGAATTGATGTCAGTTCAAGTCAAAACAGTTCAGGTCTGGAGCAGTCAGTTTAATTCATGTTTGGATGGACTTCAGACAGATCTCGTTCAGATCAAGTCACATCATTGGCAGATAAAATTCAGGTTAGATCTTTATCAGATATAGATTGAGTTCAAATCAGGTCAATATTTATTTTTTGATTAATTATTTTTGTCTTTCACGAACGTTGAATTGTAATTTGTAATAGTATATAATTTAGAGTAAATTACTAAGAATATAAATAATCATGGATCAATTTTATGAAAAATATAAAATTAAGGACTAAATTGAACAAATATGAAATTAAAAATTTAAATTTAAATAAATTAAACAACACAGATTGAAGAGGGATTAAATCAAAATAATTTTAAAATGTCAGGTTGAAATTAATATAGAAAATGACTAAATTATACCCATTTAAAAAGTTATGGGCTAATTGCAAAAATATAAATAAGAAATAAGAATGGGCCAAATTCATATGCAACTATAAATTTAATGACTAAATTGATTAAATATGAAAATGAACGAATTAAAATTTAAATAAAGTAAAGAACACAAAAGAATGAAATCAAAATAATTGTAAATTGTGAAGCAAATTTGAAAAATAGAGTAAATTACATTCATTTAAGAAGTTAAGAAAAAAATTAAAACAACTATAATATATATATAAGTATATATTAATATAATATATATAAACTATATAGTTTATATTTATAGTTTTATATATTGTATATAAACTATGTAGAGTATATATGAATTATATATATATATATATATATATATATAGTTTATATTAATAAACTATAGTTCATTAGTATATATAAATTATATATTATATAGTTCATTAATAGATATAAACTATATATAAATTATATAGTTCATATAAACTATATATTATATAGTTCATTAATATATATATAAACTATATATTAATATATTATGTATAAATTATATAACTTATTATAGTTTATATATAAAGTATATATATTATGTATATAAACTATATAGTTTATATATGCAGTTTATATATATAGTATATATAGTTTATTAAATATAAACTATATATATATATATATGGTTTAGGGTTAATTTATGTAATTATATGTAGTTTATATTCATATATAAACTATATATACTATATAGTTTATATATAAAAATATATAAAAATTATATCTATATATATATATATATATAAATTATATCTATATATATATATATAAACTACATAAACTATATATAGTTTATATATGAATTATATATAAAATTATATATATAAAAACTATATAAATTATACTTTATATATAAACTATATACTATAGTTGAAATTTATGTATTATATAATATATATAGTTTACATATGAACTATATATATAAACTATATAGTTTACATATGAATTATATATATAGTTTTTATATAGTATATACTATATATATAAACTATAGTTTATATTTATATATTATATACTATAGTTGATATATATATATATATAGTTTACATATGAACTATATATATATATGTTTACATATGAACTATATATAGTATATACTAAAAAACGACAGCGGTGCGACGGTGACTCAATGAGGAAGATGATCAGACCGACATGTGGGTCAATGACGCGCCGACGAGGTCTCCGGTCGATTGGGACGCTTTAGTGGGGAGTGCACCTCCTTTGGATGATGAAATATTAGCCATTGGATTCAATCTTGATCCTATGGTTAAGATTAATTTTTGTTTTTTCACTTGGATGCATGATGTGGCTTACATTGAATCTAGCTTCTTATCCAAGGGCTCACATGAATTTGTGTTTCTTTCACATGGATTGAAGCAATAGTGACCCTTGGAAGAAGGCTAATCAAGGGTTGAAATTAATTTGTGTATTTTCACAAGGTTAGTGATGTCATTACCTAAAAATCACACCACCATAAATGCTTCATCTTTGACTTTTCAAAGCAACAAAATTCCCCTAAAAAAAGCACCCAAAACCGACGGATAAGGATGAAGCAATTTAGGATTTTTGTTTTTTATATTATTTATTTATTTATTTATGCATATATATGTAACATTGTGGGCTATTTATTAGGGTCTTTGGAAAAACTATGTAAATGGACAATTATCTAATGAAGTGGACTATTATTTTGGGGTTTTATTATTTAAAATGAGCTATACTAATATGGACTATTTATTCTAACATGCAAACTATGTAGTATATACTAAATATATAATATAAACTATGTAATATACTAATTATTTAACATCTAATATAATATGCAATTATTTGATATGAAACTATATGATATGCAATGCAACTATTATTTAATATGTACTATATAACATGCTAATTATTATTTAATATGCAATCACGTAGCAAAAATTATACACTATATGATATATGATATATCTAATATGCCAACTATATACTATATACATACTATATATTATACATATTCCCACACATTTATTATATTATAATATGAAAACCGCCACGAGTCGCCACCCGGATAAAATGGGTGATAACATATACAAAAGCTCGATGAAGAAATTTTTGGTAGCAAAGGTAGGCTTTTAGCCTTATAAAACTTTTGTTATAATATTTGAGAGCTTAAGAAAACATTTTGTTTTTGTTCATTTTATTGTGATTTTATTATATTCAATAGTAATAAATCAAATGTTATTCAAATTTTAGATCAAATGTTATTTACATTATCAATATCAATTAAATTCATCTTTTATATTATGTTTTATATATTTTATAATTTTTATATAAATTTTCTTTACATAAATTAAACTATATAATTTACATTTAAAACAATTTTATTAATCATGTTCAATGCCAATATATTATTCTAACTTGTAATCATTATAATTAATTTAATTAATAATGTTCAATACATAAATTACTCGATAAAATAAAATTAATGATTATATTGAAGATTTATAACATAAGAATCATAATTAATATAATAAATCTATTTATTAATTTAATTATCATAATTAATATTTTATTATAACATTTAGAAATTAATCATATTAATTAGTATGATTTATTATAACTCAAAATCTCACAATTTTATTAAAATCTTATAATTTCATCAATGATAATATATAAGTCATGTAAATGTAAAGTCAGATAAATATCATATTAGGTCAATAACAAGTAAGATCATTTACAAATCATGTTCATAACAGGTCGGGTAATACCAATTATTTACCAAGTCAATCTCGGGTTCAAGTTCATATCAATCGGATGCAAGTCCGGTTTGAGTATTATATTTTCGGTTTAATTCGGGTTCAGGTCGTTCTCAGGTCAGGTGCAAGTCAAGTTCAGATCTATGATTTTCAGGTCCAACTCAGGTTCATGTCAACAACAGTTTTAACTCGAATCAATTTCAGATCACCACACTATATGTTAAAAGTAATTTTAACTCGAATAGATTTTAGTCAATTTGATAGGGTAGGTCAACTTTTTACATTCCTATATTCGGCTACTGTACGTTAGATTAGGTTTTAGTGACTGATCCATCTCCTCTTGAATCCTGATAGTGACTGTGCCATCCACAAATAAGAAAAATAAAACAAAAAGGTAAGGTACCTGACGGTAGTCATGATAATCGCCTTTATATTAAATCTGTATCTTACTATAGAAAAGGATAAACTACACCTTTAATATTTACAACTATTATTTTTGTTAACAAAATGTTATTTAAACTTTATTTTTTGTTAAAAAAATATATCTAACATTTTATTTAAGTTTTATTTTAATATTTTGTTATTAAAAATTTAATAATAATATTAACATATCATCATAAGATAATATTATATTATATTTTTAAAAATTTAAAAGTGTCACATTAATAATTTTATTAATTTTTTAACAATAAGATATGAACTTGAAGTAATGATTTAGGGGTTGTTTGTTTACTTCAGAATGATTAAACGTTAAATGATTCAAATGCTGAATGATTCATAGGCTCTGTATGAATTAGCTCTGAATGTGACATGCTGTTTGATAATGGCTCTGAATCATTCAGAATGTACTTCTATGCTGAATCATTCAACACTGTTTTGCTGAATCACTCAATATTGAATCATTCAGAAGTAAAAAACAAACGCGCTGAATGCTGAATGGTTCAACATTCAACGCTGAATGCTGAATGATTCAACATTCAACACTGAATGCTGAACGGTTCAACATTCAGTGCTGAATGATTCCATTTAGAGCTAAACAAACAACCTTACTAAAACGGAAAGAAATAATAATTTAAATACTAACTGTGTAGTTTAACCTAAAATAAGGAAACTTGAAGTAAAAGACGGGGCCCATTGGAGTTCAGCTCAACCACAAACTCTTTCCTCTCTGTCGGAGCAGTTGTACATTTCCAAGATTTGATCTTTTTTTTCTTCCTGTTTCTCTCAAATTTTGAAGCGATGACGCCGGTGGGAGTTCTTGGTATTCTGGTTCTTCTGCTTGCAGTATACTGCGCGACAGACCCTTTTAAGCACAGCGGGATCTATGAGTTCACTGACTTTGTGGCTTACAAGGTGGATATGCCTCCGTGGGGGCTTGTTCCAACGCTTAGGGACGATGAGAATTTGCTCGAGAAATCAGAGATTAAGTTCATGAATGAGGTTCAAGGCCCTGAGAGCATAGCATTTGATCCTTTGGGGAGTGGTCCTTACACCGGTGTTGCTGACGGTCGGATTGTGTTCTGGGATGGTCAGAGGTGGAATGATTTTGCTCATACTTCCAGCAACAGGTGAATCTTTCAACTTGGTTCTGATTGAGTTTATGTTCCTTTTTTGTTGCAGAATTTGACTAAAAGTATTACTTGTATGAAATTATCTCCAATTTCAATTAGTTTTTTGGGCATTATGTCAAAATATTTTACCAATTGTAATTTTGAGCTCAGGTCAGAACTATGTGATCCAAAGCCATCACCATTGAGTTACCTTCCAAATGAGCATATCTGCGGTCGACCTTTGGGACTCCGGTTCCATAAGAAAACCGGTGATTTGTACATTGCCGATGCATATTTCGGGTTGATGAAGGTCGGTCCGGAAGGCGGATTAGCAACATCACTTGTAACAGAGGCAGATGGGGTGCCCCTCAGGTTTACCAATGACCTTGACATTGATGATGAAGGCGACATCTATTTTACTGATAGTAGCACCAAATACCAAAGAAGGTAACTTTCTGATGATAAGTTTTGAGACTAAAACTGTTATTATATTATGCAAATCACAGTTTCCGGAACTACCTATTATCTATTATACTGAGACAGTAACATTTCAGGAACTTCATGCTGCTAATTTTTTCATGTGAGAATAGTGGGAGACTTATGAAGCATAATCCACACACAAAGGAAACCACTGTCCTTATGAAAAATCTCCAATTTCCCAATGGCGTGTCCTTGAGCAAAGATGGTTCTTTTCTTGTAGTTTGCGAAGCATGTTCTGGCAGGTGAGCTTTGCTTCTAAATTTACTCTAAGACCAGCTATTCCCATGTAAAGGTTTGATATCTGTCAAATGCAGATTGCTTAAGTACTGGTTGAAAGGTGAGAAATCAGGGACTTCAGAGGTGTTTGCAATCTTACCAGGATTTCCCGACAACGTCCGATCAAACAAAAACGGTGAATTTTGGGTAGCAATTCACTCTCGGAGGTCCATGTACTCTCATATATTAGGATTACATCCAAAACTTAGGACATTCATTCTCAAGCTCCCCATCCCAGCAGATGTTCAACGCCTGCTTCATATGAGGGGTAAACCGCTGGGACAAGCTGTCAAATACGGTCCGGACGGAAAGCTTTTACTAGTTCTAGAGGACAGCCAAGGGAAGGTTGTGAGAGCCGTTAGCGAAGTCGACGAGAGAGACGGAAAGCTGTGGCTAGGGAGTGTTCTAATGCCCTTTATTGCAGTTTATGATTTGGATTGAGTTTGGCTAGTCCTTTTGGCCTGCAAAGCATTGTCTTTGGCATTCTGAATGTTGCTTAGCATTGTTTGTCATTGAAAAGCTAGCTTATAGGCGTTTACTTCTCATTGGTATGGGACTGCATTATAAATAAGTAGTCTTGTCATAAAATTTATAATATAATTTTCTAAGTCCGCACCATCTATCGGAAAACCATACGTCTGTCCCTGTTTACAAGAACCGGTTGAGCTAAAGTTCGAGTTACGCCCTTTCTAAGAAATATATAGCAAGGTAAAAATCTTGCCTAAACCTTTACACACCCTACAATCGATCAAGCCTGTTTCTTGCTGCATCTTACCATCCTCACAAAATATACATTTTGTAACTCCTACATCCATCACCAAAAAGAAGAAAAGCTATTGTCAACCAGCTGCATTTCCTGGATATAAATTAATGAAAAAATGACATGAAGAAAAAGATTGATTTGAATTTATTTAATTGATTGAGACCGTTAACTACGGGTGAAAAGGGTCTATGAAATAATTTGTCCAAATGTAGGTATAGGTGAGGATAGAGATTCGTCGGGGTTTTAAATTTATTTTATTCTATAATTTTAATTATATGAAAAGTGGTTGTTTATTTAGATATTTATATGTTATGAGAATTCTTTTTTCTAAATATTTTAATATAAAAAATTAAAATTTATACAATAAACTCATTAAGTGATCTCGAGAATTGTTATCCGATTTATTGATCGACTAATCCAGATCGAGTATTACAGAGGCGAGGGTGATCATTCCAACCCAATTTACTCTATTCGCAAACGCCAAGGTTCGAACCACTGCCCACAAGACGAAATTCTGATACAACAAAAAGTCTATTTTATCCTTGGGTCTTAATCCGACTTGCCTCTATGTACATAATGAATCGAATCTCTTGAAGGTGATCCTTTTTGGATGTCAACAAGCACAATTCAACTTGGTGTGCTTTTTTTATCTTGATGTGTTGCAAGAAATTAACTCCATTGATGCTTAAAGTGTGCATGAGTCTCAGATCTTGATTTGCGATCTAATGACATCCTTAACACTTATTCGAAATTAATTTGGACCAAGTGATCACAAATCTCCCTTGGGTACTCGGACTGCTTCCAATGCCTCCTTTAGATTGCTTGCTTTGGCCTGTCTCGCTATATAACTTCGCTTGTATTCCTTCATTCTCGATAAAGTAAATGATTATTATGAATTGATCCTCTAATTCTATTAGTGTGGCATTTGTCATTTGATGAGGTATTTTAACGGCCGTTATGATCGAGACACCTAAAGTGGTAATGTTTATCACGTTATCCACTTGGATGATTTGAAAAAAAAAAGAGTTTTTTGCACCTATTTGAGAAAAGCGGTATACTTTAAGCACTTATTTTATAATTAAGCCATAAATTTATAATGGTTAATGAAAATAAGTTTATCTCATCAACAGTTAGTGATTAAATTTTTAAAATTTGAGTGGAGAGTTGTAGTCGTAGAACAACAATCATCAATCGATATTTCTTTATGAGACATTAAAACATGAGGAAGAAGAATAGAGTTTAAAAGGAGAAAAAAATAGAGAAATCCTCCTTTTTTTTCCAGTCTTTCCTTGAGGTACAAATATCCTATCTGTGGTGTTCAAATTCAGGTACTCGAAATGTCAGGTATCTAGGACTTTTGGGCCATAAAAATTCAACCCGTGATTCGACTCGTAAGAGGCATATACCCGTAAGTCGAGATCCATAAAAATCGGGTACTAGCATTTTCGACTCATAGATACCCGAATAATATTTATTTTATTTTTTAAATTTATATTAATTTTTTTAGAAAAATCCACGTAGAAAAAACACAAAATTTAAAACTTAAAAGTTTATAATACATAACATAAACATAAAATTTATAAATTCAAATTATATAATCTAAAAATAAAATATAAAAATATAAAAAAGAAAATAAAACTGTAGAACTATGTTTCGATATAACAAATTAAGGCAAAATGTTTTTTGGGCTTGAATTGAATTTATTCAAAGTTTTCAAAATATTTCAAAAATAATTCAAATTTCATTAAATTCGGATTTGAGCAAAAATGCAAAGAAGTACTGATACTGCTTCATGTAGTATCGATACCACATGAATGGGTATTGATACCCCCATCAAGGTAGTACCGATACCCCTATGAAGGCTCAAACATCGAATGCAATTTGATACCGATACCTAGGCAAGGGTATCGATACCATAGTGCAAAGTAGTACCGATACCCCTTAAGCAGTATCGATACTACAAGGCTCCAACGGCTAGTTAAATTTGAATTTAACAAAGGTAATACTGATACCACATAGAGGGGTACCGATACCCCCTGTTCTGGACAACCTATTTTTGCAAGAAAATAATCCCCAAACGACTCCAAAACATCCCCAACGGCTATATACTACTTCAAACTCATTTCAAGCTATAAATACAAGCTGAGGACACTTGAAGAAGTGAGAGAACAACTATCCAAGCAATCAAACACAAGAGAAGAGTTTTTCAATCTTATTTCATCTTTCTCTTGTAAATATTTTATTCTTGTGAGCTTAATTCTTGTAAAACCTACCTTAGAGAGGTTTTCTTGTTTACATTTCCTTTCATTGTAAAGGGTTTTTGGTTCTAGCTGAGCCTGCTAAAAGCTAGGGATAAGATTCTAGTTTAGCCCGTGAAAAACTAGTGAGTTGTAAAGGTTATCTCTTTGTCATATAAAAAGAAAGAACACATTAGTGAATTTGTTGGAAAATCCTAGGTGAGGAGCTAAGGTAGTGGATGTAGACTTGGTTGAGAAGTCGAGCCACTATAAATCGCTGTGCAATTTTCTATCTTTCAATTTCTTTACTCCCTAAACACAAAAACTGACCCGACCCCTCTTGGCGAACACTTTCGGTTGTCGATTCGAGCTTCTGCAAAATCCCAATAATTGGTATCAGAACTTAACTCGTTAGAAGGTTTAACCACCTTGAGACGATCCTTGAAGAAGATCTACCAATTTCTGAAACAACAGAGAATATGACTTCCATCTCCGGCTCATTCAACATGGAAGACTCCTTACCAACCGACAAGCCTCCATACTTCAATGGAGACAACTACCATCATTGGAAGAAATTAATGAAGTTATTTATCCAAGCCAATGATCTTGATGCATGGGAGATGATCGAGAGTGGATACTGTTCTCCAAAGAAGAAAGAGAAGAAGTGGAGTGACCAAGAACGGAAGAAAGCTCAACAAAATGCCAAGGCCATGCACATGGTGTTTTGTGCATTTGGTCCTGAAATCTATGAAGGAGTTTTTTCGTGTTCAAGTGCCAAGGAGCTTTGGAATAAGCTCGAGGAAATCCATGGAAACAAAAAAGAAGAACCAATAAAGGTGGTGTCTTTAATGGCTCGTGAAGAGCCAGAGGTATCTTCTAACTTAAATAAATTTAATTCATATTCTTTTGATGAGTTACAAGATGCTTATAATAAGTTGTATTTGGGATTTGAGACCATGAATTCCAAATATATGAAATTAATTTCAAAACTCAAAATTGAAAATAAATCGATTTTGAAAGCAAAAGTTGATTTTGAAAATCAAAATGAAATTTTGAAAAATGATTTAGAGCTTTCAAAAATCAAAATAAATGATTTAGAAAAAGAAAATTTTGGTTTAAAAGTTAAGCTTGAAAGCTTAACAAAAGAAAAAGAATTAATTTCTAAAAACAACTTATTATGTTAAAAAATGACAAAATACTGACATTGCTATTTTCATGGTCATTTGGAATATACTTGTCATATAAAGAAAAGAAAGTTTTTAAAATTATACAAGTATGGGTTCCCAAGGGAACAAGGGGCATTGAAACTAACGTCCAAGAATCCAAAGCAATTTGAATACCAAAATCAAAATGAATGTCTCTTGTACGTGTGTGGGAGCAGTGGTGATGAAAGTGATGATATTCAAGATGCTCTAGCCACACATGAAAAAGGAATGAGTAACCTCTAAGCTTAATGCTTTTAATTTTGGTTATTTGGTTGCACATTTGATTTTAATCATGTATGAGTTTTTGTTTTAAATAATTATGCATTATTGTTTTAATCTCATATATGTTAAAAAGGTTTTATGATGAACATTTTAAAGTTTTAATGATTTTTCAGAATTTTTAGTTCATCATAATAAAATTTTGGTCAAAATTGGCTTTAATACAAATGATATCTCTCTAACAATTGATATCAACTTTTCAAGTACTTTGATTTTACAAATTTTAAATTTTTGACCTAAATTTAAATGTTTATGCATATGATTTAAATGAAAATGATATCTCTCTAACAATTGATATCAAAATTTTCAAATGCATAACATTTTTTGAAAGCTTTATGCATATGTACTTAATTTCAACAATTGATATTGCATAAAGTATTTTAGACTTGGATACATTGAATTTCATGTACTACTAACATGTTTGTTATTCTTTGTTGAAATTCAATTTTGTTTAACTGTCAAACTCTTAAAGCTAAATTTTGTTTGGAATGCTATTTTTGAGGGGGAGCTTTGATTTTTCAAATGATTTTTAAATGTCAAATTTATCACTTACTCTCCAATGTTATTTTAGAACTTCAAAGATTAAATTAGTTTTGATATACAAAAAAGGGGAAGAAGTATGGTTTGAAAAATTCAATTTCTTAATGAAAAGGGGGGAGCTTAACATTTTCATATATTTTCCAACAATTGATATCTTTTTAACAATTGGTATCCTTTTGTAAACAATTGATATCTTTTTCATTAAACATTTTATTAAGGGGGAGTTTTGCCTAAAACGATTTTTCAAATGTTTTGTTATATCAAAAAAGGGGAGATTATAGAACTATGTTTCGATATAACAAATTAAGGAAAAATGTTTTTGGACTTGAATTGAATTTATTCAAAGTTTTCAAAAATAATTCAAAGTCCATTAAATTCGGATTTGAGCAAAAATGCAAAGAAGTACCGATACTGCTTTATGTAGTATCGATACCACATGAATGTTTACTGATACCCCCATTAGGGTAGTACCGATACCCCTATGAAGGCTCAAACATCGAATGCAATTTTGATACCAATACCT